ATCCTCAATGCGGAAGGAGTACAGGTAGACCAAGGAACACAATGAGGCAGAAATTTGAAATACAGTCGAAAAAAATGAATAGTAATTAGACAGAACCTAGAAAGGAAGGCTGAGGACGGAGTTGGTTGGAAAATTCTGGTCAATGTCCTATGTTCGATGAAGCGTATCAGGAGTAGGTAAGTAAGTAAGTGCATAAGTAAGTAAGTAAGTAAGTAAGTAAGTAAGTAAGTAAGTAAGTAAGCTAGTAAGTAAGTAAGTAAGTAAGTGAGTAAGTAAGGATTTGTACGTTCAAATAACTTATTTCATTTAATACACTAAGAAACTTTGAATTTTGAATTTTCAGGCGAAAAAAATCATTCGATATGGTGTAAAGTACATTTGTTTAAACAAAGAACACATCTATACAAATAATAGTAATAATAGTAATAATAATAATAATAATAATAATAATAGTATTTTTAAATATTAGCACTTAACCTAGTAAACTATTCACTAATTCAATTACACCCTGTTAAATATTCAATTACAACTAGGTAAACAATGCAATGGGTTTGTTTAAATTAAATAATTCATATAAAATTGCATTTGCAAATTTACGTTACGAAATTCAAAAAATCGATATTAATGAATAACAACAGCCATTTTATGGTGAAAGTAGGATGATGTTATGTTTTATGTCTGAAATCATAAATCACTTTTCTTAGTCAGATCATTATTAGAAATTTGAAAGGTGAATGACAATGCTCAAACATGGACTTTCGCACATACGCAGCGTCGAACCAACGGATTTTAGGTTCACGTTTTAGAACACATCACTTATGGACCATTGAGTCGGCAACCAATACTGTTAATCTCTAAATTTAATGCATTTTGAAATGGTGTAGAAAATTTGTAGCTCAGGTGGATGACTATGATGAAGTCTTGTTATCCGATCAAGAAACAGTTCAAACGGCGGGAGATACTATCAAAATAAAGGGGTAAACAACGACAGGTTTATGGTCAGTAACAATCAATTAAGATCGAGGTTGACAGAAAAATGAGACGACTTATTCATGGAGAAATTTGAATATTTCACTTCTCTCTACCTGAAGTTTTTTTAGTGAGTATGACAATTAAAGCACCATGACCAAAACATTCAACTCAGAGAATGGAACTCCACAACAACTTTAATCAGTCGACGATGTTGACACAACCCTCATTATTCATTGCTTACGGCAGATAACTATCTCCTACCAAGCACAGATTGAGAAGTTGTAATTAGTACAGTTTAATAATTTATATGTGCACTAATCAATTTTGGCAGTATTCAGAATACATTAGTGTTTTTTTTATAATTCTTGTTGTAGGAGGCGGAGGATGAGTGCTAAATTCTTCAAAGTTCACCATTTTTATTAATTTGCATTACGGAATTGTAAAGATAGTTAAGTTACACATTTTTGAAACCATGAATCGATCAATGTTAGACCACCATTAGAAACCTGGAATCACTGGACGGCCGTCTCGTCCTGGTATGGGACTCATCAGTGGCAGTGTGTATTTACGACTCCTGTACCCCGCAGGACTCGAACCCGGGAACTTCGGTATTGTGCGCGAACGCCCTAACCTTTAGACCACTGAACCGGTATCTAACGGTGTGAATGTCTAACTTGATCAAATTCACTGAGTGGAGCAACCTCATACACAGTCTCCGGTAGTAGTTACTGTCTACACCCGAACAGGTTGAACTTCACTCGTGGTCACGTCTTCCCACTAGAACTCGGAGAAGATTCCTCACGAAGCTAGTCACTAGTGAGCACAAGTAATTTGCATTACGGGCGTTCACGCACAATACCGAAGGTCATGGGTTCGAATCCTGCTGGGTGCAGGAGTCGTGGATGCGCACTGCCACTGATGAGTCCCATACCAGGACGAAACGGCCGTCTCTCAGTGCTTCCAGGTTCCTAATGGTGGTCTAACACTGGTCGATTCATGGTTTCAAAAAATGTGTAATTTCTGTTATTCACTATCGGATCATATTGATAAACGATTATTAAATATTGATATGATATTGATTTTTGAGTCAGTTTATTTCTCTTTAATCTAACTTTCTATATGAATAAATCAAGTATTTGTTATGCTCGAAACTATAACGAGTTCACATTAATCGGTAAACCGAACGAAGATCAATGATGCAGTTACACGAAAAAGCTTTTCTAATCCGATTATCCTAGTCCCCGCTAACTAAAAGAAGTCTTGATAAGGCGTACTGAGAATGTATTCTACAAGCACCCAAAAAAATACGAGGTCCAGATTATTTATACAAGTGATAAAAACGCCCTTGACGAGAGCCACAAAAATAACGTACCAAAAATAATCCATCAGTGAAGGATTTTCTGAGTGGGAAATATAAGCTGAGAGTAAACTAAGTGTTTTTTCGTGCGAAAACATAAAAATTCAAAATTTTAGAAATAAGTTACAAAATTGGGACCTTTTCCAAGTGAGTTGTTGGGGATCTAACGTC